GTGGTCTTCTTCTGGTGACCGTTTTCTCTTTATACGAATCAAGTCAATGTTCATAGTTACTAGCTTCAAATTCCTTGTCGCAACTTAGAACCAGAGCAAATAACGCGCTCCATTCACGCGCCCCTCGTACCGTAGCTGTTTTCGCTGTGGGAGCGCTGGCCTGCCGCGCGATGTCGCATTGCGAAGCGCGAAAATGTCGCTTTCTGTCCTAAGTACCCACACCCTAGACTCGTTGGTGCGTACCCATCTACTACTACAGTATATCTGCAATTCCTCTTCACTAATCCGCACTGTATATAAAAATGGAAGCTCACGGTGCACAGACGCCTTATGCACTTTGAGTGCACCTTTCGAGCCATGTAGCTACCGCATACCTCACGTTGTATTTTACCGGACTGCTTCGAAGATTGCTTCAGCCGTTCAATCATTTTCTTCGAGGGTGCATGTGCATCAAAAAGATGGGAATAAAAATATTTCTTCTCCTTTAGCTTGCAGTCAGAACACGTGTCAACCATATTCTGTAATATCGAGTTAATACTAGCCACCATGGAGATGCCGATTTCGTCTCAAAAAATAATCCCGAGAGAGAAAATGAGCGCTTCCGAATTATGTCTCCTGAAATGAAAATGAAAGCCTCTGTAACAAGAGTCTTTCAATTTTATCTCAGGAAACACGTAATAAGTGAAAGTACAGGAGGCAGCAAAAATTTCTCCACATTTGATTAAATTAACCACACTTTTTTTAAAATTCAAATCGAATGTCTCCATCTGAGAATTCTTGTTCCATTTTATGAAAGAAGTTTATTCATGGCTTTCTACGAGACGAAAAAGACAAAAGAATTTGCCACAAAAATATGCTGCACAAGAACTCAATGGGTTCTCGACGTATGCAGGGGTGGCCAAAAAAACAGACACTTCACTCCCAAGAAAATGGCTCGTTTTTCTCTCTGATTTCTTTTCACGAAAAGCGTATTTCTTACCTTCCAGACATGGACTGTCACGAGCGTGTTGTAAAACACGTGAAACTGCTTCCATTGAGACACTAACTTTTGAAGAAGTTTTGATTTCCGTACCCGTCTGGATAAAGTCGTATTATTTTCTCACGATACGGCGCTTATCTCGGTCGGATAGTAATCAGGGTTCTTCCCAGAATCATATCCTGTAGCATCCTTGAGAAACTTGTTCGTTATGAAGCCACCCCGACAAATTCTAGCGTGAGCTGACACTTCAACAACTCCTGCGTCTCTTTTGCTAGGGTTTTCCTTTTACGGAAGTTCGACAGCGGTTTTGCCTTTGCTATAAGCTAAGGGACTTGAGTGGGTAATAATTTCAAAATTTGATTGGGTAAAAGCAAAATGCAGCGGCAAAACATGTGAGTGGTCAAAAAATGAGGATAAAAAATTTTTGCTTTCTCAAACTGGATTTCCGTGATAATATTCAGATTCGCATTTATATGTGTCACAATTTGTCTGTAGAGCCCTTTTCAAAAACATCTCCAAATTCAAGTTTTTGGGAAATTTGTAGGTGGAACTAATTATGCGTCGCAGTGTATCGCATAGATCCAACGAAGTCTTCCAGTCGATCGGACGATGTACCAACGACTCAACTTGGGGGACCCAACAAGGATGTCCACTTTAAAGAAAGGAATTGTTTGAACGGCGGGACTTCCTTTAAAAGTTGGCTCCCCGCAACTTTCAAAGTGTTGAGTCGCTGGTACATAGTTCGATCCGCTCGTACACAGCTCAACTCGCTAGTGCAACGCTCGTATCCACCAATTCGCTGGCGAATCGGTGGATTCGCAAACTCTGGCATCGGCCTATGAAGGAGTACGGTAGAGGAACTAAAGTGCAAAACGAAAAAAAATCGAGCATAGTGCTGGGAATAAAACACAAAAAAAGCGGCTCAACTACTGAGCTCCGACGAGGTTGCGACGCTATGGGCCCGCCTTGAGAAAATCATATCACCCAGTAGGAAAAGCCATGAACTTCGAAGAGCTCGCGGTAAATGTCCATGAGAGTCGCAATGAAAGTGGAAAGGACAGTGTCACTAACGGGTTACCCGAAACCCAGGATTCCAGACGGCGCGAGCTCGACGCTTGAAGGGAAGGAAGACCTATAAAAACTTTCAAAGCGAGAGATATGTCTCAAGCTCGGTAGCGATTCACTACATTTGCTCTACAGCTACTACATTCAAATCTGATACACCCATCACATTACAACACATTTTTATTTGTTCGAACCGAAGGAACATAATAAGAAGAAAAAGAAAAAACCGTAGCAAATAGAATAGATGATTGTTTCAACTGTTAAGCTGTGACAGCACTAACACTTAAGCAAATAGTTAAGAACACGTACAAACGCTGAACAACAAAATAACAATAATAATATAGTTCAGAGACCATAAGGGAATTTCTCAGAACGCAGATCATTCAGCTACAATGGGGACAACCAATGGTGAGTTTTGTCAAATCGAGATGATCTCGTTACGTGATGTGTCATCCAATTTATCAGTACGGCTTGTGCCTATCTCCACCGAATCCACCACGACCACCTCGCATTGCACCACCACTACCGCCACCACCGCCACCGCCGCCTCCTCCTCCACCTCCTCTTGGAGCACCGCATTGATTGCAGGCCTGAACAATTCAATCCTTCATTTCTACCAAAATAGTTGGGAACGAATCGAGCACGAAAGCAATTTACTTGTCGGAAGGCGAAGTTGTTATTTCCACATGACTCGCAAGGCCAGTCATTGCTGCGTTGTTCCATATTGGCGTTTCCTCCACCACGTCCAAAACCACCACCACGACCGCGTCCACCTAAGAACAGAGTTGATAAGATCATATAATCACCTTCTGCGCAGAAAAACACGATTCCTCCTATTAGTATAAGTGCAATGCCAGCAAAAGCCGTACCTGAATCTCCACGGAAACCTCCGCCGCCTCCTCCGCGACCACCGAATCCACCATCTACAACGAGAGCTTTTTTTTTCATTCAACGAATCTTCTCCGAGTAAAACTTACCGAAACCTCCTCTTCCGCCTCTTCCACCACGGAAACCTCCCCCGCCTCCAGCAGCACCTCCTCGTGCAGACGGATCCATTGGCTTGAATTTTGCGATCGAAATAGTCATCGGTCGATCACCACCAGGGAATGGCTGACCGTTATACATTTCGATACAACGCTGAGCTATTTCAGCAGAAGCGAAAGTGATCATGCACTCTCCCTAAAACGAATGGGTTCGTGATGGAAATCAATGACAAAAACGGATCAGCGTACTTTTGGTTCCCCGGTTCCTCGATCTGTGTAGATTTTTATTCTCGGAGCACCAGTCCTGTCATTCTTGGCAATGTCTCCAACTGTATTGAACACATCAGCTATGTATGTCTCATTGGCTCTAAAATAATGCCAAGTTCAAAAGTTGATACTAAACTTCTCAACGTCAGACCAATTCAAAATCCAATATGATCAACATTCAAGAAACATACGTTACAGGTACACCTTGTACGAATACAGTTTCCTTGAGCTCCACTCGATCATCCTGACCTCGTCCGAAGCCGCCTGAATCGCCTCCTCCTCTATCGCCTGCGAAGCCACCACGGCCTCCACGGTCTGAATTCAACGAAATCACATCTAGGAAGCAGAAAGCGTGCCATTTTAAACAACCAGAACGGATGATGCGACTCTGCGGACTTCTATAAACCTCATACGTGACTGATACACATTTCACGTGACACACCACAGATTTCAATAACAGATTTAGATAAGACGCATTTATAAGATATATGTTTCTCACAACTTATACTTCCATTTCACCAACCGAGCACGGTTATTTTGACCGAATTATGGTTCTCGTAAACATAACCGCGAGAATACCATCTGACCTGATCACTCATTTACCAGTTACCAAACGACTTTTCATAAATATCACTTGAATAAACTTTTGTGTTAGAACTCCAATAATGAAAACTTGTTTAAGAGTGATTGCACCTAACACGAAGTCCGCAAGTACACATCATCCGAAAAGGTTTAAATTAATTTACTGTATTTATATATAGTATCAATGAATGATATTTCATATCACCAACCCCCGTCAACCACTGAAAATTTGACTCCTTATAGATACATAACGCCACTCTTTACAACTGCCTTGTTTTACTGTAACCATTACACTGTACACCGCCCTGATTTTACTATGTTGAACCTACGATTTTACCCAGATTTTACAATGCTGAATATATGAGCACATTTTTCATTTTGTTTTAGATAAAAGTACATTAATAACACTTATTTTGATGAGAATACCTTGAAAACCTCCTCTTCCACCGGGACCTCCCGGGCTGAAACACAACGAGATTATCTAGGGATAGAAGCGCAATCCAAGCGAGACGAAGTCCACATTTGGTTGCGCTTCACCCTAGACATTGCAAAACCACCTCCGCCAACGATTATCTCTATGAATCGTTCAAATCCATGGCGGAAATAGCATTGCAATCTCCACAGAGAAGACGCGCAGAATCTTCACACTCGATTTTCAATTCGTGACTTCTATTTTCGAGTTTACGGTGCTGGTGTTGAGCTGCATTCAGCCCATCCTGGAACTCTAAATCATACTCGTTTACCTTATCCCCTTAGGGATTTCAACAACAATTTATACGATCATCATTACGAAACTGATCCGGCACAAAGTAAGATGGGTCGCAAAAAATTACTCACAAAACTCTATACATGATCAGTGTTTATTCCTCGACCCGCTATACTTGAATTGCCCGACCACAAACAGTTACGATGAACTAGCAAAGTGAAAACCGTCACCTTTGCTTTGTAGAGAACAACTTACCATAACACCACTTCACCAAACACCGTAACTCATAATAATCGACTGCAATCTGTGGCCCAGTTGGGCAGAACACTTAAACTCTATAACATTAGTTTTAGCCATGAACAATGTCTCAGATCACCGCATGAACTTGGCATGATGCAATTTTCGCTAATAACAACTCATGAAATGTCCTATGATAGGAAACTCCTCTGCAAATGTGATGACAAACGTCAGTCAGGAATCTACTTGAGACACTGTTTCTCCAATGCAAAAGACTATTACCCAAAAACTCAAATAACGAAAAATTCTTACCCGCCACGGAATCCTCCTCTGCCACCAGCGCCGCCGCCGCCGCCGCGACCGCCATCGTCCCAACGGCTTGGTCCACGACGGTCGCTTCCACCTCCTGCTCCAAAGCTGCTGCCGCCACCTCGTCCGGCGAATCCACCTCCGCCTAGAAATTTTGCTAGTAATGGAGCAAAAAACTGTCAGTACAAGGCAGCTTTGCAGAAGCTCTATTCATAATCAGATACTCAAACGCAGCGAGACCTTACCTCTTCCTCCGAAGTCGCCGCGTCCACCACGAGCGCCTCGACCGCCGAATCCTCCTCTTCCTCCATCACTGCCGTAGCCGCCATCACTGCCGTAACCACCGCGGCCACCTCCACGTCCGCCATCGAAACCGCCGCGGCCACCATCGAATCCACCGCGACCGCCATCGAATCCACCACGACCGCCATCAAATCCACCACGGCCACCATCGAATCCACCACGACCACCGCCTCGGCCACCATCGAAACCGCCACGGCCACCGTCGAAACCGCCACGACCACCGTCGAAACCGCCACGGCCGCCATCGAATCCGCCACGACCACCATCGAATCCGCCACGGCCACCACCATATCCACCTCGTCCACCATCATAACCACCACGACCACCGTCAAATCCTCCACGACCGCCATCATAGCCACCTCGAGTGCTGTAGCCATCAGGACCGCCACCACGACCTCGTGAAGCTGAAATTAATTATTTTGTTTGTTATAACTGTGCAACGTTGCTGGAATATCAAGGCAACCTTTACTTGCGTCTGGCATAGCCTGTGGGGCACCGGAACCGTTGGCATAATAACCGCTATACTGAAATTACAAACGTGAAATTCGACGAGAAGCATTCCAATTGGTCAGCAGAAATGATCAACATACATCAGTTGGCGCAGCGGCTGCAGCTCCATTACCAGTTTGATCTTGACCTTGTGGAGCACCCGGTGCAGTAGGAACTGTTTGTCCTAGAGATGCATAGTATTGAGCCCAAGCCGCTTCGTATTCTTTCAGAGCCTGAAATAATAAAACAATACAGTGAGCTGAATGAGCACATGAACTTACAAGAATCCTGATGAAAACCATACGAACCTGTGGATCTGCTTGAGCATAAGCGTCGCCTCCTGCCGCAGCATTTGGGTCCGCATAAGAGCCATTGTAAGCTGAAACAAGCAAATAAAAGATAAAAAGAGAATATGTGGTGTGTAAAAGGTACTCACCCATCTAGTACCCACTGCTAACGCTACTAAAAGTTGTTCCTTCCTGAAATTATTTCCTACAGAGGCAAAAAGAACAAACAGCCGATTGCGACAGAAAAGCACTCGTTTTTCAAATAGTAAGACGATCTAGTAAGGAAAGAAAGAGTATACAAGATGCCACAAACGATTACAACAAGAGAAATGAGCGCGTCTGAGGAAGAGCCGCGCCTCGAGTCGATACGCGCGGCGTGGCGTTCCGTGTAGGACCGCCATGACGCCGTGGCAATTGAGGTTGGGTTGAACTTGGGTCTCTATGGTTCCTTTTGGTCGTTTTCCTATACGCTTTGCTGATGGGAGAAATCTGGGATTGAGAGCAAGGGTTTTCTCAAAGGTTTTGTTGCAGGACCAAATTTGAAGGCAAAAGAAGTGTTGGCAGTGCGCCAAAGGTAGCTCGAGGGTTGAGGTCAGCAGATGTCGGTCATCATTAGTGTGTGCTCGGTAGTGTGGGACTGCTTAATCAAGAGGTATTGATTTTTCTAGATTAGTGCATGCTGCTCGGTTGTTAATCACGAACTATTCAATTCTAGGCGCTATCGCAAGATACTGAGGCATCCTGGTAGCAGTGCGTTTAAGACCGTGTAAAAAACACATCCTTATTGAGATCGGACCAAGTTTAAGTCGGGGTACGAGCAGGCGGGGATGTCGCCCCGCTTCTTAAGTAAATCAGTCCTGCTCATTGTAATTCTGCACATTGATGTTCAAGTGAGAACGTGGGGCGCTCATGTCCTTGGGGGGGGGACATCCAAGTGAGTGAGACAATTACTGTGCTTGGGACTAAGCCTCAGGCAGGGGAAGGGATTCTGTGGGAGTATGCAAGCAATATGTGTGCTCCATGCCGTTTCTCCCCCTCTTGGGCTTAGTCCTAATGCCACCTTCAATCGGCCCTGTTGTAGATGTCCCCCCCCCCCCCCCCGACCAGGACATGAGCGCCGTGAAAAACCCATCTTACCGGGTCTCATACAAGTTCTGGGGGGGATAATGATGTCAGTTTTTCCCAAAAGCTCCGGGTACCCGAGTCAAGGAGTTGTCGCGCAGTGTAACGCGGGGGTGATGAGAGCATAACTTCGACGATGCGTGAAGGCTCCGCAATGTTGTATCACATCTAGTCGCCAGAAGCTGCATGATGCCCCCCGCCACTCTAATTGGAATAGACCCTAATTTACTTTCCAATTTATGAAGATTGTGCGAACCTTAGTAAAACAAGACGCATGTGTTACTTGCAGCTGCCATAATGTATGCTATACGAAATATTAAGTAAAACTAAAAAAAATCAGCAACGCAGCAGCAATTTAGGGGTCTGTTCTCCGACCGGGGGACATCCGCTGATGCAATCTGCTAACGAAAGGAAACATGTTAAAATTTGTAAGCTTTTCGAACAGTCAAAACAGAACATGTCAAAACCCTAATATCGTGTAAAGCTTTGAAGAAGAAGTCGGCTCAACAAAGTAAGACGTTGTTGCATTACGAGGGGGGAGGGGTAGGAGGTGGGGATAACTGCAACGTGCGTGAGTAATTTCCCACTCCGGAGTTCTTGCCTCCCCTTCCAGGCTTAACCCTGGGTAAGGTGGGCATGACCTAGTCTCGTATCAATGGTTTTTTTTCTTCCTTATTATCTGAGTAACCCTCGTACCTTGCGATAGCGCCACTTCTTCTGGACGTTTATCGAAAACAAAAAATGAAATATGTGCAATAAATAGGTCAGATTTTGCTCATAATACATCACGGTTCTTGACCTGCCTTCTTCCAATATAAACGACTTGTTCTAACACGTTCTCTTTTGTTAATAGCAGAGCGAACAATTGCGTCAGAAGATGTCCCCTGTCGGACAACAGACCCCAATTTAGTGTGGAGTACGGAAGGGCGTAACAAGGCAATTCTAACAAGAAATAAATGTAGCGGAGCCTATGGAGTTCACTTCAGCTCACAATTATTGCAGTAATAAGGGAGGGGAGGGGGTGCATTTTGGTGTGGAGGACCAATAAGCCAGGAGGATGAAGATTTTTCGAAGCACCCTAGGAGGGTAAGGCACGATGACAGTGCTAACTTAGCTGGAGGACCACGCGGCGGCGTTGTGGCACCGCAAATTAAAGCAACATTCCCAGCAGGGTTTTTACCTTCGACACTAATGGTGTGGAACGATGCGCTAGTCAAGAACATAAGAAGTGTGACTGAACAAAAAACTCACCTTGGAAAGCCGCTAGAAAGGGAGCTGAACGGCTTCGAAGTGGGCGTGGTTGCTCAGTCGGCTGCAATCCCCTCGGCCGATTCCAACCACGCCCACTTCGAAGCCGTTCAGCTCCCTTTCTAGCGGCTTTCCAAGGTGAGTTTTTGTTCAGTCACACTTCTTATGTTCTTGACTAGGGCTAGCGCATCGTTCCACACCATTAGTGTTGAAGGTAAAAACCCTGCTGGACTGTTGCTTGAAGCCTTGGCGGCACAGACGAACAGAGTGCCGCGCCGCCGCGTGATTGCCTCCCCCCCCTCCTCCCGCCCAACTACATTAGCACCAATAACTTCTCAAATTGCGAAGACCCCTTTTACACAATAAAACTTGCTAACTCATCTTGGAACATCTATCGTGAATTCATGCAAGAGGCCTCATCTCTTGGTCCACAACTGTTTCTTCGCGCGAAAATTATTTTTTTGACCCATCTCACCTCTACTGGGGCTGTAATAGTGCAATAGTGCCGATTTACAATATATTCGATAAATTTTGCTACTGTGGTTGGTAAAGGGTCGCCGTATAGGGCAAGTGAGGTGACATGCGTTGAAAGGTTAAATAAAGTGTACCATACTACGTCTCATATCGCACAGCACGCCCTGCGACTCGTCCTTTGCCGCGTCTGCGTCTCTTC